GTGGCAGGGTACTATTCTACCACTAGACCACTGGTGCTTTATGCTATAAAAGCTTAAACAAAAGTTTAAGTATAAGAGTGAGGTTAGTTAATTAAATAATCTCCATTTCCAATCTCTTACAAAAAAATACAACATATAATTTCTACATTCAACTAATAGAGAATTTCATTTCCAATATTTCTTTATATGATGATGGATAAGAAAACACCTATTATAAAATATTTTGATATATTTATAAATATATTATTGCACTATTTTCTATATCATGTGAATAATATTTATATAAAACAATGTAGCAAACAATCTTATTTTTATACTAATAATTGGAGTAGGCACAATTTACTTTACTGTTGTTGAGTTGTTGTTGATCTTCTAGATCAAACCAATTGAAGGATATAATGTAAAAAAAACAATATATATATATATATATATATATAGAATTTAATCTTCAGCAAGAACTAGTGCCAACAAAGAAAAACGTGCATGTGAAGTCGACAAGATTCACATGTGGAACTGTAGTTGATAAATTGTATGACGACCATTGACTATGTAAGAAATGTTCATATAATTAACTTGCGTCAGTAGAACTGAGATGAAAAAAAGTAAATTAGCGGCAAACAAATAAAGTGAAAAGGCATATAATTATAGACGAGATAAAAAAAAAAAAATCATAGATGAATATATTCTCTTCTAAAGTTGTTTGCGTTTTAAATATTCTTCTTTCCACTAACTTTAGTCTCAATTGGCAATAGGTGAAGGCACGATGTAATTGATTAATAGATGCATGATAATTGGATAATAATAACAAGAAAAAAAAATTATAGGGATTGGAGAAAGTAGATGAAAAGTATAAATGTAATCATTACTACATTATTTTATTTCCATTGTTAGATTTAAATACTACTTACTTCCATTGCGTTTTAAATTACTATGTAGTACTTATTATTCTTTATAGTTTAATAATTTTATTTTCGATCTTTATAATTAATTTTTTAATTTTAATATATATATATATATATTAATTCTTAGTGTTTATTTATTATGGAAATTAAAAGATAAGATTTATAAATTTTAAAACTAAAAATATAAATAAATAGTAAAATAATTTTTTTTTTCACCAAAGATAAAATTTATAAAAGCCTTCCAAAGCATTTACGTTTGGCCACCCTTGTTTTAGGGACTAAAGTGTAAAGCAGGAATCTACAACTTCTTTTATGAAATATTTCCTTTTTATTTAAAAGTAATAATAAATAATAAATACCAATCCTAGAATAATTGAAAAAAAGGGAATATTGTTCCGTAGATTTTCACACTTAACAATCTTTAAAAAAAAAAATAGATACAATTTCTTAATAAGAGTTAGAATCTTATTTTGATATAATGTATTAATATTTAATATAGTTCTTATTAATATACAGTTATGTATATTATTAAAGTAAGATTTCAACTTTGATTGAAAGATAATATTTAAAAAACTGTACTTAAATTTTGTAAAAAAAAAATAGTAGAAGAGACATTTTTACATATATAATATGGTTAATACATATAAAGAGGAGGGATCCATTTATATTAAGAGTAAATTTATCTAAACATACTTAATTTAATAACTCTTTTATTACATCAAATTTTAATGATTTAATATTTAAATTAAAAAATTTTAATATATAAATCAAGTATGCAAACTTTTAAAAAATTTAAAAATTATTTGATATTTTATTTTATTAATTCAAATTGACAAATAATCATAAAAATATTTTATACGTTAATTTAAATTTATATAATAAAATATCAAATAATTTTCAATTTAAAAAAAATTGTAAATTTGATATATAAGTTAAGAATTTTATATTCAACAATTTAAATCATTTAAATTTGATAAGAACATAAATTACTGAATAAAATAAATTTAGATAAACTTATTCTTAAAGTAAGTGAATCTTTATTTCTCTCACTATATATAACATAAAATTGGTTTTTTTAGTGTATGAAAAACTAACTATATATATATTTATAATGATTTAATTTTATACAAATGAAAGATTAAAATTAGTAGTATGAAACAACTATTTATTTGAGTGTACAATAAAAAAACTATAACTCTATCAACAAATTATTAGTTTAAATAAAATTAAGCGCTTAATTTTTTAAACAATATCTCTTATTTAAAACTTGTAAACTAAAAAAATATTATTGAATTTTTTTTTAGCCAAATGACTAATAAGAAGGTTGTTAGTCAATTTCCAATGGAATTGATGTAATAAATAATTATGTATAAATTCATTGTAAATAAGAGTAAATTAAAGTTCTCATATAACGAGTTTTGGGAGGTGCAGTGTTCATATAAGTTAACCACCTTTAAATAGATTGTATTATAGACCCACAAAATAAATGAATTTACAAAAGCGTTAAAAATATATTAATATTTTAGTAGATGGTCTAGTTTAATTACTAAGGTATGTAGAAAAATGTAATAATGGTCTCGAATTTTAATATTAAATATTAAAAATAAGATTTTATCGTAAATCCAATTTTATATTTAAAAATTAGTCATCACTAAAATTATTAAATTTATTTACTTATAACATAATTAATATATATATATATATATATATATATATATATACATATATAATATTTTATACGTATAACATAATTAAAAAAAAATATAATAGATAGTGACTCTTCTATTATGAAAACAACTATTAACAATGACAAAAAAAATGTATTCGCGAATATAATTCATTACAAATAATAAATGAACAACTTAAATAAATATTTATAAATAATAAGTATAAATATTTTCTATTCTTTCATATACAAAACGAGAATAAATATGATAGTAATCATATCTACCTATACTTGCTAAGTAAAACTATTAAATGTTCACATGTTTAATTATATTATATATATATATATTTTAATATTTAAACAAACGTTAAATATAAGTTTAAAAATTGATGTGAATTATCTATTTTTAATATTTTAGTAAAATCAATATTAAATACATGTTTAAATTTATTTATAATACTTTTTTCAAATTTTTTAAAAATACTTTTAAATATTTATATTTATTTATGAATATTTATAAAATTCACAAATATTAATTTAATGATTACCCTTCCAAATATAAAACAGATATTGAATATTTTTTATTCAACGATGTACCTACTACCACCCTAAAGAAGCTCCATTACCATCTCTATGTACTATTATAATTGCAAGTATACAAAAGTACACATATTTCAAGAAAAGTAAATTTGATTGGTGGATTACTGGTGAGTCTAACTCATCAATAAAATCATTAATATTTCATTCTTATAACATAATTTTAAAAAATTAATCGGAGATGATGACATTGCTAATTCCGACACAATTGCTATTGTAATTGTATGTATATAAAAAAGCACTCATAAAAATTTGCATCAAACAATTCTAGGTTTTTCTTAATCCAAATCTACACGAATGATGACAATGAGGTCTTCTAGATCTAGATGTAGGTAGTAGATTTTTTGTCATCGTGTTGTTAGATAAAAATACATTTCCTGCTCATACGCATGTATCTGTTAAGCAAATGTCTACAATTTTTATAAATATTTGTGAATATTTATATTTATAAATATTTATAAATTTTTAATAAATTAAAAAATATATTTAAAATAATTTTAAGTTTATATTTGATGTTAATTTTTATTAAAATATTAAAAATAAATAATTAACATAAATTTTTGAACTTGCATTTAATGTTAATTTTATTACAATATTACAAATAATAAGAAACACAAGATACACAATAACTTAAAATATATTAATCTCATAATTTTTTTTATCATTAATTAATCTCAAAAGTTTAAATAAAAATCTAAATTCACAAAACTAAAATAATAAAGAAAGTATGATATAAGACTACTTACTTTTTTATATAAGAGTATGTAAGTAATATTTCTTACTGAGTAGCCACATGTATAAATATTAGAGATGTACAACAAAAATTATATAATATAATTTTGTTTTTATTTCTCTTTATTATTAATAATATCTCTCTTTAAAATAAATGAAAATGAAGTGATGGAAAGAAATAAATACAAAAGTAATATTATATAAATTGTACAAATTTTGTTATACGTGTAATATTACTATTTAAATTACCTATTTATTATTTATGGTAAGTTTTATCTATAGATAGTAGCAAGTGAGAGTTATTTTTTTTACATCTACATGTGGAGCACACTGGGCACATGCTAGAGCCATATATTGCCAGCTCTAGACATAGTAAAATATGAAAGTGAGGGGTTTTAGACTCCAAGCACAGTTAATTGCCAGTCACCTGTGACTTGTGTAAGGTCGTTACGGGGCTGCTCGAGCACATGATCATGTGATTTCTCTTAGCAACAGATTTGAAACAATTTATGTGCTCTAACATTATTAATTTCTTTTATTCCAAGTTATAAATTAAACATACAATACACGAAGGTGGAGACAAGAGGAAAAATTAAGATTAAACCCGAATTTTCTTGTATAGTACTGACAAAAAAAACAGTGATGATAACTAGTAGAACGCAACCGTCTAATTAATTATAATTTGTTGCTTAAGTTTTGATCTTATTGATATATAACATAATTGAAGTTTCACTCCATTAATCTGTATAATTTTTCAATTTAAATCTTTATTTCACTACTATTAAGTTCACTGAAAAGCAATACAAGCAACACCAATACAACTAGAATTAAGTTTTTTCCAAATTTGTTTGTGGGTGAAATATTCATTGAAGTTGTTGATAATTAACATTTGCTAAAAAATTTATTTGACTATCTTAGTAAAATCTCTTTTTCAAATCACGTTTTTTTTATCATAAAATTAAAACATGAAATCTTAAAAAGACCAAATTCAAAATGTTAAGAAAATCAAGTTTAGTTTTACTCAAAGAAGAAGGACATATTATGTAACATACCATGTTTAAAGATAGAAATCCTTACACAACAAAAACGCAAGTTCCTTAATGCTTCTTCTGAGAAAGTTTTTATTCATCTGCTACTTTGCTAGATAGCTAGAGGCTTTCAAGAATTCAATAAATAGTAACACCAACATCAAACTCATTGGCTAGCCCCTCCTATTCTTGTTTTCATCACATTCCTTATCCTCCCTCACCCTCTCAACAACAATGGACCATAGCTACCCTTCACTTCCTCTTCTCTCCATTTTCCTTCTCTTGCTTCCTCCCCTGATCTCATCTCAAATCTGCCAGAGAAACTGTGGCAAAGAGACTCTCAAGTACCCTTTTGGCAGTGGCCCTGGTTGTGGCGACCCTCGCTTCCAACCACACGTGTCATGTAGCCAACAAAAGCTCACTTTCACCACTCACACAGGCTCCTACCCTGTGACCTCAATTGACTACACCAACCAAGTCATACACATCTCAGATCCCACCATGTCAACATGCTCTTGCACTGTCCCTAGCAAAGGCTTTGGCTTAAACTGGGACGCACCATTTACTTTTGCTGAAAGCACCATCTTTGCTCTAGTAGACTGTGCAATGAACTCATCATCTATATGCAAATCAAGTGGCTACGATGATGGGAACAATTCTAACCTTCTTTGTGATCAAGGCTCACCAATTTGTAGTCTTCTGTATTCATGCAGGCCTATTAGTACTATCAACCTTCCAATCTCCACATGCTGTGTTTACACGCCAGTTAATCTTGGACCATCGTTTGAAATGGATCTGCAGAAGCTGCAATGCCCTTCGTACACGGGCTTTTACAACTTCAATGATCAACAATCGGATCCTGAAAAGTGGAATTATGGAATAGCACTTAAGTACAAGTTTAGTGTCACAAATGACTATCCTACTTCCTGTGCTGCTTGTGAAAGGAGCTATGGAGTGTGTGGGTATACTGGTGCCTATAACTCGTTTATCTGCAACTGTCCTAATGGGATTAACACAACAACGGATTGTTTCTTCACATCATCTTATAATGCTGGTTTTAGAAAGGGTAAGCAAAATTCTCCCTTTTCTCTTGTCAATTGCAGCCTGTCATTTACTCATTTATGTTTGGAAGCCGTTTACTTGATTTTTGTTATTATTATTATTTTTTAAGCAAATACGATATCGGTATGAAGTATATACTAGTTTTAATGGTGATTAATCTCCGTCAAAGAATCTGATTGGTTTATTTTTAGTGGAGTTCTTATTTTCCAATTACATTTTCTCTATGCTAAAGACTTGAACTTGAGACTAGTGTAACAAGATCGAATCTAGTATCATTTAGACTGATGACTTATTAACTGTGTTTTTGTTATTTTATTTATTGCTTTCAAAGATTTGTATAGAAAATATTTTTGTTTCTTGAACAATTTTTTTGAAACAGAAAATAAAGTCACAGTTTTGTAATTGAAAAGTGAAAACGGATTAGTGAAAGGGACTAATTAAAATTGTTTTGGCCTGTGTTTTTTCAGGGGTTGCTTGGTTGATCTATCCTGTGGTATGGTCTCTAGTTTGGTTCTTCTTGTGACCCAACAAGTAACCAACAGTCATAAAAGGATTCTTATTGCACTATATATAAAGATGAGATCGGCTACATATATCACAAACCTGACAAGTAACCAATGAACATATATTTTCTGAAGGGTTTCACAAGTTTGAGTGTTGGGAACTTTCATTGTTTATGAGTGACTTTCTTGGTTAAAAGAATTTGGCCATTCATTTTGGGTGTCCTTAGGTGGCAGATGTGTGCACATGCAGCCTGCAATTTGAATTTCCTCTTAGTTCATGTATGTTCAATGAATGCCAAAAATTTATTTATGAAATTTATAATAGATTGTCGGCATGTCAGTTACTGTAGTTCAAGTGGTAAAGGGTTTGATTCCTATTTGTATGATGTGGAGTTTAAGTACTAATGTCAACGTAAAAGATGGACATCAGAAAACTTTCCTCTTAGTGGGTCTATATAATATAACTTCAACTAGTTGGACTCTAATTTGACTTCTAGATGTTGAGTGAGAGTCCTTAAAAGCAAAAATAAATGTCTGAAGTGCACCTAAATAAATTAATTCAACAACTATAAAAAAGCTTTTGAAAGTTAATAAATAACCATGTTACTTAATCATACCTGAACAAATCCTTTTCGTAGAAGTTCCTATATAAAAAATAAGACTAAAATAAAATTTGTCTTTTATATGAATTTTGTATTTGAAGTTATTTTATTTTTTATTTTTTACTTTGGTTTCTTGGAGTATTCGATAAACTAAATTTTTCTACCAGCTTACCACACTATATAATTTGGTTAATTTTTTAATATGTGGTGAATTATGAGAGATGCTATACCCACATTAATTATTAACATTATTCTTAGTAGAAAAACCTGATGGAAAAACCATTTTGGTTTAACAAATACACTTTAAAGGAACGAAATAAAAATATCCAAACTTAGAGACCAACCTGGAAAAATAAATTTAACGAAAAGGATAAAATTATATTTTATCTTAAAAAAAAAATATGTAAAACCTATCTCCGGTAATTTTTATGTCTCAACTGCATTAATTTGAAGCTGCTACACTCTTGATCACTGACTGACTGACACATATATAATAAAATAATAATTCAGCTCAATTTTGATCATATGAATTAATTGCACCTCCCCCCTCCCTCCCTCCCTCTTTTTTTATTTTTATTTTTATTTTATGTTATAAAGTTGGAAGCTTCGTGGGATGCCATATACAGTAGTGAATCTCTAAAGTGTAAACCTGTAGAAGGCTTGATGAATTGGTAAAACAATATGGGATATGGAATGAGATTCCCAGCCTTTAGTCTCTAAGAATCTCTAACTTTGTCAAGGGCCTTTATTTTTTCCCCCCTTTATCTCTATTACCTGAGAAGGTGCAGAAAGCTTTAAGCCTACATATTTATTCTCACAGCAATAGAACATTGGCATCACGATTTGAACTTTTAAGTTTCTTCTATAAAGCACCGAACTATCAAGATATACATAGAAAGTTAAGAGATGATATATACAGCACATGCACAAGAATACCACAAATTTTGCCAGAGGAGGATGAATATGACTTGTAATCCATTCAAGGTATAAAACAAATCAACTTCTATATATTAAAAATAAATTATAATTTTTCTTGAAAGTGTTTTTAAAAAAAAATTTCAACAAGAAGATTTATAATTTTTTTTTATAATTAATTTGATTTTTATTTATCATAATTATTTATAAATTAAATAATAATATTTTAAAATAAATTTTCAAAAAATAAAAATAAATTTTATTACAATATAAATTTGTTCTTACCGGAATTTGGTCGTAGGGGTGATCCGTCCAGTAAGATCGGTGAGTCTCCTTTGCTTGATGTATTGGTGCTCCAAGATGGGGGAGGTACCTGCAAAAGAGACTCCGATGCCAAAGTTAGGGTTTGCATGAATAATAGTCTCCTATATATAATGCACGTACCTTAGGGTGGTTTAGGTTTGCCTTGGGCCTTGAGCCTGATATAGGGTATGTTATGATATGATATAGTTGAAGGGCGGATCTGGTCTGGGGCGAGATCCTCGGGTTCGAGTGTGATTTGCTCAAATACCGGGCTGACGTCGCGCAGCGCATGCCCGGGGTTGTTTTGTATTGCTAATCCGGGCTCGGAGCCCGGGTGCGAAGTACGGTTAGTACACTAGCCCCCCGAGCTCTGAAGATCGTAGGTCGAGGAGCTGAGACCGGGCTCGCCAGTGGCTTTTCACATAGGTGTCATGTGTCGCGACTGTTCATTTCTGGAAACGTGCGAGTGACGCACTAAAGGAAATGACGGTTATGCGATGATGGTTTGCAATTAATCTACCGTTAGGCGTGCCCTTTGGTCGACACGTGGCCTGACCGTTTTGAATTTTGGGGAGAGGTTGTTCTTTTTCTTGCGCCTCTTCTCCTTTTCATTTTACTCTTTTTGCGTCCCTCAGCTTCTTGTGCACGCTTCGTCTTCGCTTGTTCTTCGCCTTTGTTTCCTTTGTCTTTCTTGATGGCTGGTGGTCATGGCGTTGATTCTCCTGCCCCTGCTAGGGGTAAAGCACGCGGGAAGGCGGTGACAACCGGAAGGGGCGCCATTGAGGGAAAGGAGGTGCCTCCGCCCGGGGACTTAGAGTTGGGCGTCCCTGGCTACGAATGGGTAAAACGCGAAATGGCCAAGTTTGCAAGCGTTTTTGACTCGAGTTTGGAGGTTGATGCGCTCTGGGAGACGCATAGGATTTGTGACCCTTCTATTTCTCAGATGATCCGATTGGAGCCTTGTTCGGCTAGTGAAGGTGTGTATATGAAGAGGTCCGTTGGTCCTCCTTCCTTTTATGTGTATCAGAGTTTTTTCAGGGACTTGGGTGTCTGCCTTCCTTTCACGCAGTTCGAATGCGACTTTTTGAACTACGTTAATGCGGCCCCTAGTCAGTTGCATCCCAACAGTTGGGGCTTTTTGAGGGCGTTCGAGGTATTATGCACGGTTCTAGGGATGGAGGTGTCTCTTCGGGTTTTCCTCTCTTTCTACCAATTGAAGGCGGGTGCCCCGCCGGCTGGGGCTCTTTCTTTGAATGGGGGTAAGGAGGGGGGTTTGTTCACTCCTTATTCCCAGTCGTATAAAAACTATAGGCAAGAGTTTTTCCGAGTTACTCTTGTCGATGTCGACCCTTTGGAGGATGGGGGGTTCTACTTTGGCGGGCTACCGAGGTTTCCCTTCTACTGGTGCCATGACCCATCTTGGTTTCATGGGGTGGACTCCTCGCAGCTGACGCCGTCGGAGACGACTGCCGTTGATGCTTTGAAAGCGCTTCCTCGCCCGCTAGACTGCAAGCTCATCCTGTCGCTCGAGCGTTCGGCGCACAGGGAAAGGGATTTGGAGGGTGAGTGTTTGGTACTTCGTTTACACGTTAGGGTTTTATGCTTGTTGACGTGTTCTGTCCTTTGCTTTCAGGTATTATGGGAAAGGACTTGTGGCGTGACTGGAAGCGGTGCCAGCGCTACAATGTCGTTGAGCTTAAGGCTCTTGGGACCCAGGGGGAGGGAGAGGTTTCTCCCCTGAAGGTTAATCGAAAAAGGAAGAGGGTCCCGAGGGAGGTTGGGGGAACCTCTGTTCCTCGCGAGGTGGAGGAGGTTGTTGCTGGGGCTGCCAGCGTTGAGGTGGCTAGTTTGCCCGGGAGCCGCCTGCCTGAGAGTGGAGCTCGGG